GGCCTGTGAGGCCAGTAGGGATACTTCTTCTTGTCTAATTTGGTTTCTGGGAAGACTTCATTCAAGTCCTCAATGGTCATCTGATCAAATGGAATTATGTTCCTCATCTTCTCCAGCTGAAAAAAGAGGGGAAATGTGTCAAAATAAATAGGGTTGCAGAGATACAAAAAAAGGACCCAAAGCAGGTGACTGCTGCTAGGTGAAGGACGCATGGCGACGAAAGGAAAGAAAATGGATTACAAGCAAAGGCCAAGGCTCATCCTTACCTCTTTCTCATATTCCTGAATCCTGGTCTTTGACTGAGTCAAAAACTCAGCACAACTTTTCACCTTTAAGAGAAGGGAGAAATTCTGTTTTGAGACCAAGTTGTACCTTCCCGACCCTGAGGCTCCCAAGGCATGAGGAGTCCCAGAACCCCCCACTGCTTTCCCACACTCTGCAGAGGAGGTGGGCTCCTCTGACTGCTTGGGGGATTCTGCTTTAGGGGGCAAACTGCAGCTCTCCCCGACAACCACAAAGAAGCCCAGATAGGAAAACCAGCTTAAGGCGGCAGGCCCAGGTTTCTTTAGTGAGTTATTCACCTAGGCAACCTACAAATCCCTGCCTCACCTGGGCCTGCCTCACGGCCAAGACAAGCCACTGACCACCTAGTCAGACTTCCCCTTGGTGGAGCCACCTGGGTTCTAACATTGGGCCTTCAGTACTTTCAAACAAACGGGTATTTGACTACTCACTACCGTGTATAATTTTCCTGCCCAGTTTCAGCTCCTTGATTGTTTTTAACAGTCATGTTGAGGTATAACTGACATACAATAAAATGCACATATTTAAAGACTACTACTCGATAGGGTTTGATATACACATCCATCCATGGAACCGTCACCACAGTGAAGACAGTTTAATATTTATCATCCCCTCCATCCCAGCCCCAGGCAACTGCTGGTCACCAGAGATTTAGCTGAATTTGTTTAGTTTTCCAGCAGTGTAGTCATACAGTGTATACTCCTTTGCTGGATTCTTTCACTCACATAATTATCCTAAGGTTCATCCGTGTTACTGCATTTATTAACAGTTCATCCCTTTTTAGCGATCCTTTAAATTCACTCCACCTTAACCTTACTAGTAAGAAACAGAACTGTCAGGAATTAAGAGAATTTTAGAATAAGTAAGAGCCTCAACTACTTACATCTTCTTTTTCTTCAGCATCCACCTGGGCAGTGTATTTATCCTCCGGTATAGGAACCTTCAGGGCATTAAACTACAAACACAGGAATAGCGAACTGTTGTTAGTATCACCAGGAGTCCCCCCAGAAGGACTCAAAAGCTGCTAATTGTAATACATCATATAAAAACACATTCTCCATTCCAGGCGGTACGAGCAGGCATCTAGGGCACTCTACTGGAAAGAGTATTAGACTGGCAACAGGAGCTCAAGGTTCTTTGCCGCATCACTAGCTGGAGACCTTGGACAATTCTCTTACTAAAATGAGCTTCAGTTTCTTCACTTGATAAAGACAGGCAGACCTGATGACCTCGAAGAACCCTATAGTTCTAAAGTAATTCTGATTTCTCTCTTTTTTAAGAATTTTATTTTTTGGCTGTGCCACACAGCATGCAGGATCTTAGTTCCCTGACCTCGGGTGGTTACCTGTGCCCCTTGTGGTGGAAAAGCAGTATCTAAAGCACTGGACCACCAGGGAAGTCCCCTGATTCCTCTTTGAAAAGAAACCCTAGCGGACAGGTAGCGGAAGTCATGTTTGCATAACAGAGATGGATGAGACCTTCTCCCTAGGAAACAACTTAGTGTCTTGGCCCCCCGCACTGAGCACTGTTCCTAGCAGAGTGGGCTCTCGATAAGTATTTGCTGAATGAACAAGCGAACCCCGGATGATGAAATTTAACATCAGAATATAGGTGGGCGAGGGCTTCCCTGGTGGTTCGGTAGTAAAGAATCCACCTGGCGATGCAGGGGACACAGGTTTGATCCCTGATCTAGGAAGATCCCACAAGCAGTGGACCAACTAAGCCCATGCACCACAACTATCAAGCCTGTGCTCTAGAACCAGGGAGCCACAACTACTGAGCGTTCATGCTACAAATTCTGAAGCCCTCAGACACTAGAGCTCTGTTGCTCCGCAAGAGAAGCCTCCACAATAAGAAGCCTGCACACCATAACTAGAGAGCAAACCCCCGCTCATCACAACTAGAGAAAAGCCCACACAGCTACAGAGACCCAGCAGAGTCAAAAAATAAATTGTAAAAATAAGAAGAAAGATAGGTGAGGGAGAGACCACAGCTACAAGGGACAACAAAAAAGCAGAGGAAAACAGTAAAAGGGTAGGAAAACTGTCAGCCTGCTTTAAAAGGAGACAGGTGGGGAGTGCAGAGGGAAATCAGGCAGTCGGGCAGAAACATCCAACTCCACAGCCCTCTGGCTCCCGGATTAAGACTCTATTATACCGTTTTCTTAGGTTAAGAAATCTGCTGAATGAGGAGACCCTGAATTCTCCCCACCTATTTACCACTTAAATCTCTGATCACAAGACCTTTGGCCACACCCATCTCTCCTGAGCCTCCCTTGGGATCTCGGTGTTAACACCACTCCTCTTTCCTCACTGTCTTCCTGTGTAACTGTCCACAGTCCTGCTTCCCCGCCCCCACAGCCGTGTTACAGGACCAGGGCTTTAGCTGCCTGAAGGCTCACCTTCTTCTCAAAGTCGTCCACCAAGCCAGCCTTTGCCACGTTGGCCTTGTAGTAAGCCCAGTCGATGGCAGGTGGCTTCTCGGGCAGAGCAGCCAACCTGCTCACATAGAAAAGCAAAAGTCAGGGCTGTTCCACCAGCAAGAGGAAATTCACACAGCAATTTCCCTGTTCTTCATTCCTATGCCCTGGAGCTATCGCCACACTCTTCCCTAGGAGGGAGATCACAGGAATGCAAAAAACAAACAAAAAAATTCACTAGTATTTAGAAAATGCATGAATTTCTTTCTGCCAGAAGAACATCAGAATTCATATATTTTGTTTCCACATGAAACCACAAGTCCAGAAGCTCCCTCTCAGCAAGGTACTGACCTGGAGGTTAGGGTCTCATTCCAGGACTTCAAGGAGTTAGCCACGGCCTTCTGGTTTCGAGGGATGATCTCCCCGAAAGCTACCCAGTCAATGGTTTTTAGAGCAAGTTTCCGTCCAGCCATCTTGAGATCCTGGAAAATACAACAGGTCAGATCAAAACAGGGCTCTTGGAGAGAATCCTCTGAAGGGCATCACAGAAGTATTCAAGTTTTAAGAAATAGATCGGCATCATATGAGTGGGTATATCTGTCAACTAAAGGAATTAGGACGACAATATCAGAAGAGGACACTTTAGTTTTTAAAATTCAAGGTGTACAACCTGGCATACAAATATATTCTAGATGGTATACCCTCTCTTCCCCATCTCCTAATTTATCCTTAAAAGTCCAGTTATTTTAAAAAAAAAAGAAAAAATGCAACTATCCAGTGTTTGCACTCCATGCATCTTTGGAAACATTGCTAAAGCAATATTCATGCATTACATAAAAGTTAGTAATTTAAAAACACTTCCACTCGGCCTACATTTTATTCACTGATTCTCCAGTGCACAGAACCTGACACATATTCACATTTTAACAAGGCTTAGTTAAATAGAGCAGACGCTGGACCAAAATTTCCTCACCTGAAAAAGGGGGAAATAAGCCCTGTTAGCCAAAACAGGCTGTTAAAAATATCAAATATAACTGTGCACACCAATTTGCACTACAAACTTAAGGGGCTCTCTACCCACTCCTCCTTAGACTGGTAATACACCCACACCTTATTCATGCCTGGTGCTCCCCTGTCGTGTTAGCACATACCCTGAGTATACTGGACATACTTTTTTAAAAAAATGTATTCAGTACATACGTGAATGTGAGAGAACATGGAAAGTGATCACAACCGTTAAAGATTTTTATAAACTATGGGGTGGGTCACAAAGGAGATGGAAATTTTCCCCAGGGCCTTAAAAGAAAGAAGACACATGTCCAACATCTGCCTCTTCCTTTCTCTCTCAAGATAGCTTATGTTCCCTGGAGTGGACGTAAGGGGCGGGTGATCTTTAAATACACCAGACAGAATAAGTGCCCTTGCAGAAACTTTTTCAAGCTCGGAAGCTTCGTAAATGGGTTTGTTGTCTTTTATTTACTGCTGAATCCCCAGCGCCTAGAACAGACCCTGAACAAGCAGGTGCTCAGTGAATATTTACTGAATCGGTAAGTGAACCCTGCACTAGAGAAGCTCCGAAAGCTCCACACGCTCGAAAGCTGGAACCTTCAGACGGGAAACGCACAACCCTCCAACCTGCTGGGCGTCACCAAGCAGGCTAAAACTAAGTCCCGGCAACGTTTTCTCAGCCTCCAAACCGGACTCCTGAAGCCGCCAGGCTGGAGTCGGCCTGGACGAGACAAAGGTTAGTGGAAGCCCTAAAAGTCAAGAGGACACAAACTGGCCTCCGCGGCCTCGCGCTAGAGGGAGAGGAGAGGAGGAGGGCGCGAAAGAGCAGCCGCGCGAAGGAGGGGCGAGACAAGGGTCGAGCCGAGGTATGCAGGGACAGAGCAGAGGAACCCGCTGCGCTCAGGTAGGTTCGAGGCCCCCAAGCTCACTCACCTTCACCGACCCCGGGCGGCCCGCAGTCCGCAGCAGCAGAGAACGGAAGTGGGTCACCGGAAGCTCTCCCCTCAGCCAATCCCAAACCCAAGGGGGCGGACCTTGTCTTACGGTTCAGCGAATAGCGACGAGGGATGATTCCGGAAGTGCCGCCCCCAGAGGCGGGCGTAGCGCCTCCACAGCCCGGGGACGCGGACGCTGGTTGGGGGCGCTCCCGTCTCTCTCCCGCGGCCCCACCCCCGCCGATGGGCCGGCCCGGCTCTCCCTGCCGAGAGATGGGCCGGCCCGGCGGCGCGCGGGCAGCAAACGGCGGCGGCGGCGGCGGCGGCAGCCCAAGATGGCGGAGCTGCAGCTCGACCCGGCCATGGCGGGCCTGGGAGGGGGCGGCGGGAGCGGGCTGGGCGACGGGGGCGGCCCGGGCCGCGGGCCCCCCAGCCCTCGCCCCACTGGCCCCACGCCCCGCGGGCACGGCCGCCCGCCCCCCGCCGCTGCCGCGCAGCCGCTGGAGCCGGGTCCCGGGCCGCCGGAGCGGGCAGGGGGCGGTGGCGCGGCCCGCTGGGTCCGGCTGAACGTGGGCGGCACCTACTTCGTGACCACCAGGCAGACCCTAGGCCGGGAGCCCAAGTCTTTTCTCTGCCGCCTCTGCTGCCAGGAGGACCCGGAGCTGGACTCGGACAAGGTGCGCCCCGCCCTCGGGCGCGCCCCCGGCCTTCGGACCCCCTCGTTCCTCTCTGGCTGGTCCCCGGATTTCCTGCGACGCGCTTCTCTACGGCGGGCACCTGGGGCCGGGACCCCCTCCTCCTCCTATTTACCCGCCAGCCAGCCCTGGGGGCTTTTTTGCCCCAGCCCCAGACGCACGCAGACTTTCTCTCTGACCGCACCCTTCGTTCTCAGCGGCTGCTTCCCCGCACTGTGCCCACCCTCACCCGTGAGAGTCCGTTCCACACCCCATGTCCCCTTCTTCTCTGCACCTCATCCCAGCCCCTCAGGTCTGCATGAGTTTTTCCCCGACTTCCTCGTTTCCCTGGTTCCTGGTCAAGACCCTCAGCGCCTGTGGCAGACGCATCCAGAATTGGGTCAGGGCGAGCTAAGGCATCCAGGTAGCTTTCTGAGACTTCCCCTCGGACCCCTCTGCCCAGTCGGGTGAAAGCCTTGGTGTGATGATGGCTTCGACAGTTGCAGGAAGCGCTTGTCATGATCCCGCACTTCTTTCTTGTGGTCCTGCTCTCTGGGCTCGTATCTGGTAACTGACTGTTTTAGGTCCCGGTTTGAGCTCAGATACATTCCTAAGAAAGAGGTTGTCCTTTGCCAATGCAAACCTAAGCTGACGGATTAAGACCAGGGAAAATGAAACCCAAAGAGTACCGTTGGGCAAGACGCATGGCTGCTAACCAAAGAGTTGAGAGGTGACAAGACGCTTAACCCATTTTCAGTTTGAGCTGTTTGATTTTTTTTAACTTTACACGTTCATCTTTCAGTTTCTGACCTAAAAGCATTGACTGTTGCCTGCATCGCCTGTATCCCATGTAGCACTTAGCTGTTCCCTTGCAACAGAGTTAGGGTTAAGTAAACATTGGTTAGTTTCATTTATTCATCTGCTGCCTCTCCTATAATCTCAGATTGAAGGCAAACTGTCCTGCCCTCACTTAAAAGAGTTTTCCAAAACCTTGCTTGTTATAAAGGAACGATTTTATCTGTCCTGACTCTTTGTTGCAGTAGAAGCCAGTTTCTTCTTGTTCCCTTTACTGTAAAGATGAGTAGGATTAAAAGTGCTCAGAGCCAAGTCCCGGCCATGCCAAGCTTCCTCTGGGCACAGATCTGGAGTGTGTGAGTTACAGCTGCCAACGCAGACTCCCACTGCCGTTGGCCCTCAGCTCAGGAGCACTGCCAAATAAACAGAGGTTTTCTTAGAATTAGGAATGTGATTCAGGGACAATAGAGAAGTCAGAATGTCTATCTCAAACAGAAACTTAGATCACACAGCTATGGCATTTTCTTCCTCTGTTTTTTTATAACAAATATCCCACAGGAAGAATGTTGGTAATTGTATCTACGCTTTAGCTTACCCAAAAGGCTGAGAAGAGATTGAGTAAAGATTTTAGAACTTCAAGTCAACGCCTAGATAATGAATATGACTACATGTCTGCAACACCCTCCCAGAAATGATCTTGAAGTACAAGACCCGTAAAGCTAGCCTTCTTGCCAGCAGTTAGTAATAAACATCTAATAGAACTTGCCCTCTCACTTATGAATTGTGACAGACAGGTGGAGACCCTGCCCTGACTTAATATGAAAGCTCCACAGTGATACCCTTGTGTTTGGTTGGCAGGACGAGACAGGGGCCTATCTGATTGACAGGGACCCTACCTACTTTGGTCCAATCCTAAACTACCTCCGCCACGGGAAGCTCATCATTACAAAGGAGTTGGCAGAAGAAGGTAAGGACACTGTGCGCTAGGCATCTTCAAAGTTCAGGTCAAATCCTTAAAACTATTTCATAGATTAGAATGTATTTTTCATAGGTTTTTTTTTTTTTTTTTTTTTTTGGTGAGGGGAGGGCTATACTGTGTGGCATGTGGGATCTTGGTTCCCTGACCAGGGATCAAACCTGTGCCCTCTATGTTGGGAGCACAGAGTCTTAGCCACTGGACCACCAGGAAAGTCCTGAGATTTGAATTTTGAGATTTTCAGCAGGCTCACGTGCACAGGAAGCAAAGCTTTTTTAAAATAAGTAGGGAGCCTCCAGTTACCTAGTCTAGTCTGAGAGGGTCTTGAAGGAGCCCCTTTGTTCTCGTCCTTCTTTGGGGGAAGGAAGATACATAGCTCAGCTTTGGAGGTAGAGATTTTTCTGGACCTGCAAAATTATCAGGACCTCTTTTGCATTGACTTATTACTAGCAGTGAATATCCACACCCTGAAACGGCAAATCTCTGACATTTAGGTGTTTATTCTTTCAATTTTAGTCTGAACTTGCAGCCGTTATAAAAAAAGAATAATGAAGGCTTGGCCTCATTTAAGACTGGTCTCATGCTTCCTTGATTTTTGCATCTGACCTAATTCATTCTCCAGCCCATTGTCAGGGGCATCATTAGTTGACTCATCCTTTTGGTTTGTAGGGCACTTGGACTATAAGTGGGTCTAGACGTCTTTTAAATGGGTATCTTCGTCTCACTGAGACATTCAGTTGAAGATGGGAGCCTGTCCCTTGATGCAGGGCACCCTGACCTGGGAGCATTCTGCATAAGAAAGCTGAAATGGCTGTGCTTGCTAATGAAACGGCTGAAGAACACTGCTGTTACAACCTGTCAAAAGAGGAATCAGTCTCCCTTTTTATTTTTAATGCCCCCCCCCTTTTTTTTCTTAACATTTCAAATGCATACAAAGTAACTGGAATAGTAAAATAAATTCCGTGCACCCACCATCCACAGCAGCTACCAGTTCATGGGTAGTCTTGTTTCTTCAAAAGAAGAATCCTAAACATCTTTTCTAATGCCTTAAAAAAATGATTTTGAAGGGCAGAAATAGTACAAGAACTCCCTTTATCCAGATTCACCAAAATCAACAGTTTTGGTTATATTTGCATTATCATTCATTCATTCTCTCTCCTCCTCCTCCCCGCTCCTTCCTCTGCCCTTTCTACAGTTTTATTTCCGAATTTCTTGAGACTAGATTACAGACTTGACCCCTTAGTGCTTCGCGGCCTATTTCTCAAGAGCAAGAACATTCTCTCATGTAACCACCATATAGTTATCAAATTCAGGACATTTAATATTGATAAACACTTTAACTGTACCTTACATTCTAATTTTGTCAGTTGTTTCAACAGAAGTCTTTATAGCAACTCTTTTCTCCTGGTCCAGGATCACACATCCCATTTAGTTGTCCTGTCCCAGGCCTTTGATCCTTTGATTTTGTTAAGCGTGGGATTCTTTTTTTTTTTTTTTGGACATGCCACACAGCTTGCAGTATCTTAGTTCCCTGGCGAGAGATTGAACCTGGGCCCTTGGCCATGAAAGCACTGAATCCTAACGACTAGACTGCCAGGGAAGTCCTGTGCATGGGATTCTTTCATTGACTGCTTTTTATATTATTCAAATAACATGCATCTTGTTTAATTTGGTCCCCATAATTTTTTTTTCCTTTTTAAAAAATTTTATTTATTTATTTTAAATTGAAGGATAATTGTTTTACTGGTCCACATAAATTTACACTTATACAGAGAGAGCCATTGGTCACTTTTAGGACAAACTGGGTAGAAATTGCAAGCTCAAGAGTTATCCAACGGGACTAGCTCCAGGAACTGAGTTCCATATGGTCAAGGTGTCCTGCAGCTGATGAGCAGGAGCAGGAAGAGCCAGGGAAGGTGGCAGGTGGGAAACCACAGGGGTGAAACAGTAAACAGAGCAGACTCGCGTGCCTGCCTCGCTGACGTTGGGGAAAAGGTCACAGATACCCAGCAAACAGCAAGAAGTGTTTACAAGGCTACAGAAGGGAGACTTGCATGTGAAAGATGCAGTTCTTAGCAAGCACGTGTTCTCCAGCCTCTTTCTGCTGTTTTCTGGGGAGTTCACACACGTCTAACCACAGGTCAGTCTTCCTTCTAGGCGTGCTGGAGGAAGCGGAGTTTTACAACATTGCATCTCTCGTGCGACTGGTTAAGGAAAGAATACGGGACAACGAGAACAGAACTTCACAGGTAATGGGTTTTGAACTCTTAGGGGAAAATATCCCACTTGTCAGTCTTTGTCCCCATGTCTGAGGTGATCAGAAACGGATAATGTACCGTTTGAGAGCCTTGCGTCTCCCCTGTGAGCCGGAGGTCTCCGTGTGGCATACGGTCCATCTGCCAGACAGGCAGCACATATTCCGCCAGACTTGTTCAGAACAGGGAAACAGGAGAAATCACGAAGAGAACGAAACAGGCCCATGTCCCCTTAGAAGAACGGGAGATAGTGGCTGCTCGCCATACGGCAGTGGGCGGAGTCGCCGAACTTGAGGTTCAAAGCCTGTTCTCCAGCAGAGCATCTGCCTCCCTCCATGTCCACGAGGTCTCGCTTCTGCCTGTTTACCTGTTGGCTTCTATATGAGGACCAGCCTTCAGCCTGTGACTGTGTCACAGCCAGCTGCTAACAGACACTTGCATGGCATAGACTTTGCACATGGCTTGTGAATCACGCTTCTAAGAAAATAATACCAAGCTTCTCTTTCTTTTAGGAAGTCTGGATTTTCTTAGATATGGTGACAAAAATCCACCCAAATTTGCTGTGTAGTTTGAGCAGGGAAGGCAGTGAGGCACACTTAGCTCATTTCATGTCACATCACCCATCGTCAGTCTTAAGCAAGTGGCCACAATAACTTGTTAGGCCCTGGGGACCCCGACTGATGGGAGGTCCATGCCCTCAAGAAGTTTAAAGTCTAGCAGGAAAAACAGGCAGGTATTTTGAGAGGGTTTGACTGCACCAATGGGACAGAGTCCGACTCCAGGCTGACTTCTCTCCTGCCCCATCAGGTACTGGTGGTGGTCGCTTTCTTGAGAGCTAATCTGTCGCAATACAGAATTTCAAAAGCAGAAACTTGTTCCTTGCATGTTCTGTGTTAGGCTTCATGTATATCACGTTTTTTTCTGGCTCTGAATGGAGTTATCTGGATGACCACCTGGCCCCTATGATGAAGAATGGACTCTGTTCTGCATTTTATCTCAGCACTTTGCGAAGGTGGAAAGGAGGCTTACTCATTTAGTTCTTCTCCATCTGGTCCGTGGCTGAAAGGCTTTTTTTTTTTTTTTTTGGTGCTGAAACCTGGGATGAAAGGCTCCTTTTTAATGTTCAAAGATGAACTCATAGTTGGTTTGCAGGTTACCATGTGAAATATGATCTAGCGTCACCAATTTTTTTGCCATCTCCTGGTATATTTACGTGGCTTCTTTCACTATTACAGATACGTAATAGCTTTAGACATTCTGCGAATCTCGTCCATCCTCAGTTTTTCACATTAAACAAAAAAACCTTTGATTGCTTAATATAAGTTTTGATGGTACCATCAAGTATAAAATTTGAAACCATTCAAACCATGGCACCTGAACACTCTGAATTCTTCACCATCAGTAAATTCCTTGAGAGTATTGTGAGGTTTTTATGTGATGACAGTAATTGAGTTAATTAGTTTTTTCGATTTTGAGGCTCATGGATTTATACCTAGCTGGAAGTTTTTTTATTCTAGGAATGTCAAGACCCTTTTGATGTTAATTGATCTTTCCACCTGTCCCCTTTATTTAGTGGGACTCTGGGTGGGCAGTGGATTTGATGTCGCTCACAGATGTCCCCTTTTACATTTGTCCCACATCACCTTAAGGCGGAGTGTGGATTTCCGTGGCTGTCTCCTCAAACTCGGCGTCTCCTTCACCTTGCCTGTGTTGAAAGGAGACACACCTGGCAGACAGTCAGGTAAAGCCCAGGGTGTGGAGGACCTCCCCCACTTTTCCAGTGACCTCACTTCACTTCCAGTGGCTGCCACCATCCTGTTACTTTGCCATCCCTGGTAGCGTTTTTTGCTGTGAGATGGGTCTTGGTGCATTTGAGAGTGGCAATGGTTTACTTGGGAAGAGGAGAGTAAAGAGGAGGCGGTATAGTTATCTTAAACAACTGGGACTTTGACAGCTGCAGCCACTATCGGGTCTTTGCGATGCCCTGCATCTTACAGTGTAAAACACCTGGTTGTTCCTGAAGTGTATGGCTCGGGTAATTGAAATTGTTACAAGATTTGTCCTATATTTTATATGGAAGGAATTTCTTTTTTTTCACCTTAGCACATTATCGAATGGAACCTCGTTCAGAAGGACAAAGTATATGAGAAAGACTGTATAGTGTTGTCAGGCAGATGTGGGCTCATATCCCAGTTCTACCTCCAGTCCACTTAGTCGCCACACTGCTTGGGCAAGATATTGTGCCCTGAACACCAGTGTCCTCCGTGTAGAAAGAAGCGGACACCTGCCTTCCAGGACTGCAGTGAAGACTGGAAGAGAAGGGTGCAGCACTTGGGGCCTGTATCCCGCAGTACTTAGTAACTGCTTTTATTCATCCAGTATTTCCCACATTGTTCTAATTTTCTAGACAGCTGAAGCCAACTCATCCTTTTTAAAAATGGGCTAAGTTTTCATCATTCTTAAGAAAATGGTCCAGATTTTCTTAAAATCCGATAGAAGGTAACTGACCCCTCTCTCCATGACCAGGCATCATTGTTCTGAACCTGGGCTGCTATTTGGTTCTCTCACCCTCTCGGATGGGCAGTAAGTGTGCAGCTTTGGACCCAACACCGATGGTCCCTGACTGCTAAATGCCGAGTCCTGTGCGCCTGGAATTGTCCTGTGAACAGGAGCACATCTGGCGAGCCTGCTTCCCTGCAGCCACCTGAGCCGCCTCACAACCGGCTTCTCGTTCCCTGTGGCCCAGGTCACAAGTGTCGATGTAGGTCAAGTCAAGTGTGGGCCTTCGTGCTGCAGCTCTGGGGTGTCCATCTCAGTTGCTCAGCCTTTTGGCTTCCCGATCTAGCTCATGTTCTAGAGAGTTGAGTCTGGCCAGCACATCTCATCTTTGACACCCTTCAGGTGACCAACAGTTTGGTTCTGTCCTGACACTGACCACTCAGAGTCAGTGTCAGACTCCCCAGGGCTCGGATGCTAGTTGGGATCTGGGTTCCCACAGTGCCTCCTTCATGTTCAGTAATTCACTAGAATAATTGGTGCAACTCGGGAAATGCTTTACTTACTATAGTTTGTTATGGAGGATATAAATGAAGAGCCAGATGCAAAGATTCATGGGGTGAAGGCCTAAAGGGTCCTCTGTCCCCGTGTAGTCCCCAGCATCCATTATCCGCCCCCAAGCACAGGGATGTGTTTGCCAACTTGGAAGCTCCCTGAACCCCGTTACTTAGGGGTTTTTCAGGATGGTTCTTTCAGTAGGAAAGGTTGTCTGTATCATTGGCCTTTGGTGATTGAACTCAATCTCTGGTCTCTCCTCCTTCCCCCATGGTCAGGGAGCGGGGCCAAAAGTTCTAACCCTCTAACCCCCTGGGTCTTTCTGGTGACCAGCTTATTAGCATACAAAAGACACTGCGGCGACTCAGGAGTTGACATAGTTTTTCGGAGGTCTGTGCCAGGAACCATACGCTTGTCTGTCACAGGAATGTTACCATGTAACACTGAAACACTTTGAGGTAGCTTCAGCAGAGGGTAAAATAGCTTGAACATTTGCTTACTGTAGAGTCCCTGTTTAATGTATTGTTTCCATATAAGGTATCATTCTCAGTAAATGAAGATACAGTCTACATTTTCAGCATGTGTGTTAGCTATAAAGACTGAAGAAGAAAATGTGACCTTTTTGTCCTGAGTAATTTTACTCTGTTTTCTCCTTTGGGAAATAGATGAAGTCATAAGTTTATCAACATGGTCGCTCACAATTCATCCTTCTGAAGTTCAAGATTATTTTGTTTTATTCATGTTCTTGGACCCTATATTTTCTTTTTTCTTTCCGTGGATAAGTTTTTATTGAGAAACTATCGTGCAGCTTGAAAGGGGGTAGCGGGTGGCTGCCAAGAAAAAATTCCAAGCACACTCATTTCCAGTCTTTATTCTTCTGAAGAGCTTCACCAAGGCAGCTGCAAACTGTTGTGTCCTTGAAACTTGCTCAGAGCCTGTATGTGGTTGTCGCAGGGCCCCGTGAAGCACGTGTACAGAGTCCTGCAATGCCAAGAGGAGGAGCTCACGCAGATGGTATCCACTATGTCTGATGGTTGGAAATTCGAACAGGTAATGTTTCTTGGGGCTTCCCTGGCGGCTCAGTAGTAAAGAATCCACCTGCCAATGCAGGAGACACAGATTCGATCCCTGGGTCGGGAAGATCCCCTGGAGAAGGGAATGGCAACCCACTCCAGTATTCTTGCCTGGAGAGTCCCGTGGACAGAGGAGCCTATTGTGTGACCGTCCATGGGGTCGCAGAGAGTCGGACACGCCCTGGCAGCTAAACAGCGTGTCATAAGGTGCATCTCAGCCTGGGAGCCCACTCTGTCACCGTCTGTAGCCAGTCACCCACCCTAGGAGTCCGGTAGGGCCAGGGGAAAGAGGCCTTCCATGTGCACTCTGCATGGCAGGGTGCGATGAGCTGGGTGAGACCGAGAACACTGTCCTGTCTCCAGGCTTTATATCCAGAAGTTCTGTGATTCTGCCCAGAGGGAGCCAGCCAGCTTCTTTAGGCTTGAAAGTGCCTCTTTGGGTTTTTCTCCTTCAGGGATTCCTTTCAAAAGTGCTTTGCTGACACATTCTAGAATAAGTAGCTGAAGAAGACGAGGGTTCAGCAGTGACCCTCCCTGTTCACGCGGCGTGGTGAGCAGGCATGGCATGATGGGCTCAGATGAGCTGGAGCCTGGTGAGGTCCTTCCCCATCAGCCTGTGGGTTTCTGTTCTTTAGCTTTGTACTCACGACCACGGCATCGAAACAAAGCATCTGAGAACCAGGATTTTACTGTTTTCTTCCATTAGATGGCAGAGTTGTTCATCTGTTGTCTTCAAAACACACAGGGAGGCTGAGCATGAGTCGAACGACAGTATTATAAAGTCAATGAATCATGCTTGTTTCTATGTAGAGTTTAAGAGGTCAGCTGAACTGTCACCATATGCTTACCTTAAATGAAAGTTACTGGGTCAACAGTATTACATTATAGACCAAACACAGGCATCTCTGTCTTCAGCACCAATACTGGGTGACTCCTCACAGTTATCTTCCATGGCAGAATCAATTCTGTGTATCTCTCGTTTTTGTTCAGCTGTGGGTTGCAAAATGTCATACTTCCACTCCAGAAGTATTTTTTCCTTGGTATAAAATTTTAAAGACAAAGTTGTTTGTTTGTTTTTTTAAGAATTAGCGGGTTTTTTTGTTTGGTCGGATGGTTGATTTTGTGGCTGTGCTGCATGGCTTAGTTCCCCAGCCAGGGATGGAAGCCAGGCCACAGCAGGAAACCCTTGCTGGTGATGCTCTGGTGAATAACTGGGATCCAGGTGTCCCCTGGGGCCTTGATAGTCCCAGCGAGTTCTTCGTCCTTTGAGAAGCAAAACAACAAAGCTCAGTCAGGAGGAGGGTTTGATTCGTGTGGCCCTTAATTATCCCTGCCCAAATGTTGACCTGTTCTTGTTTGGTCAGCTCATCAGCATCGGATCTTCCTATAACTACGGGAACGAGGATCAGGCAGAGTTCCTCTGTGTTGTCTCCAGAGAACTAAACAATTCTACCAATGGCATTGTCATCGAGCCCAGTGAGAAGGCCAAGGTGAGTCGCTCTGCCCAACGTTCGTCTCTGACTCTACTCCCAGCCCCTGTTCAGCCCTGCCTGAACTGCTGCTCACCAGATCATCCCTTTCCTTCTCAAGCCAGCTTTGCATTTCCCTTTCGTTTTGGCCTTTTGACTATTGTCATTTAAACCAGGATTTTTGAAGCAGTGACATAGGCTTTTAGTTTAGGACACATGAACTAAAGTAGGGTAGTCTTTTCCCAGGCTCTGTCAAATCAGTGAAAAAGAAAAGCTGATGGCCACTGACTCCTCTAAGGTGAGAATTTTGAAACTCAGAGTTGGAAGGATTCTGCCTTTATACTTTGAAACTCTTCTCTCTCTCAAGAGAAAAGGTGTTTGGTTACCTCTGTGACACCCCCCGCATCCCAAAGCCCTGAGGTTACTGGAAGCTTGTTGCACACTGTTCTCTTCTTCCTCCACTGTGCCACTCACACACACCCCCACAGTGAGTCTCCCTCATCAGTGTGGGGTGAGCCTGGCTGTGTCCTTCTGCTCAGGAAAGGTGGTCCTCCTCCGTGCGAGGTGGTCCTCCTCCATGTGTGGTGAGCCTAGCTGTTTCCTTCCCCTCAGGGAGGTGGTCCTCCTATGTGTATAGTGATCCTCCTATGTGTATAGTGATCCTCCACCGTGTGCGGTGGTTCTCCTCCACGTGAGGTGATCCTCCTCTGCATGAGGTGGTCCTCCACGGTGTGTGATGAGCTGGCTGTGCCCTTCCGCTCATGGAGGTGGTCCTCCTCCGCCCGCAGTGGTCCTCCACCACGTGTGGTGAGCTGGCTGTGTCCTTCCGCTCATGGAGGTGGTCCTGCTCCACCCGCAGTGGTCCTCCACCACGTGTGGCGAGCTGGCTGTGTCTTTCCCCTCAGGGGAGGTGGTCCTGCTCCACCCGCAGTGGTCCTCCACCACGTGTGGCGAGCTGGCTGTGTCCTTCCGCTCAGGGGAGGTGGCCCCGCGGCACACAAGCCCTGCCCCAGCGTCTTCACACTGCAGTGCTTCAGGGGTTCTGCCTCGCTTCTCGGGGTAACGAGTCGTCCTGCTGCTGCTCCACGGGGTCCAGAGGGAAGCCACTCCAGTCTCTTTCTCCTCCCTCAATGGGCTGGGAAGCCACCCCTGCAAAAGCAGTGTGCACCCAGAGTCCAAGCCTCAGTCTCCCCCACTTTCCCCTTCTAGATTCTTCAGGAGAGAGGGTCTCGGATGTAAACTCCGAGTCCTCAGTGACGGGCGCACCTAGCCGAGCTCCTGTACAGTAACCGAGCTACTGCCAAGCCAAGCCGCACCTGGCCCCCGGCGGAGGAGAGTTCTGGTCAAAACCAAAGGAACCCCACCCCCACCCACAGGAACCCCAAGACAGATGCCACTTTCAGCTGCACAATACCTTCTCAGAAACCTGCTTTTCTTTTCATAGCCAGTGTTGTAACAAACCTCTCCAAGAGCACTGGGCTGGGTTCCCAGGTGGAGCTTATCTCAGGATGGGGCGGGGAGGAGGAAGGCCTAGGTCCTTGCAGATGCTGTACTTCCCCGAAGCCGGAGTGCGCGAAAGACCGTTGTCCTGAGCTGTGCCACGTTTTCACCTGAGTGTGCCCTGTTGGACGTGGGCAGCCACGTCATCACACCACATTTCTCTTCACACACCCCAGACTACCGCAGCAGACGCAGAGGAGTCTGGTTTAGGCTGTTGAACTGAGGTTTTGGCGAAGGATAGAGTCTCCAGAGCACCCCCACATTCCTATGAACAAAGCCTCTTTGAGGAGGGGAGGATGGGGGGTCGCAGCTCTGGATTTAGGCCACCAGCTGCCCCCTGTTCGGCTTGCCTCATTTGCCTCCAGCAGCTGGCACCCCACCCCACCCCCCGCCCCAGATAGCTCACCTTCTCCCCAGGAAGAGTTCCGAGGCCGGCGGTGCCCTGTACCAAGTCAGACACGCAGACTGGTGGGGGCTGTAGGTGTTGGCGTAACTGCTTATGCAGCCTTTGCTTGCCCTCTGTTAGCCCATGTTCCTTCCCTGACTTGTTAAACTGGGGCCGAGGATACAGGGATTTTGGACCCTCTGCTGCCTTGGGGTGGAGACGGCCGTTTCCTCTGAAAGTCGCCAAACGTGGTAGGCTGTAGTGTCAAAAGGGGCGTTGTTTTTGTGGTCGTCTCGGAAATGCCTTGATTGAAAGTGCGATATTTGTGTCTCTTCTTGGTTTCTGACCTGGGCAGTGGTTGTGAGCCCATGCCATCCGCCGTAGTGTGTGTGCGTGCGTTTGCCAGGCGGGCCCAGGACCCCCTCACCTGACCGGCCCTCACCGCCGCTTCCTTTTGTGGGGGCCGAGGCATTGGTGAGCCAGTGCTGTTCAGTCAGGAGCCAGGCCTCAGAGCTCGCGACGGACTGCTGTCTGAGCGTCAGAGTCTGGGCGAGCAGTCGTGGGGTGCAGAGGGGCCCGAGAACGCGGGCTTTTCCCCAGTGACTTTTAGTGTGGCAGGCGGTCCAGAGAAGGGGGAGTGCCCGTGGGGAGCACTTTGTCCATAAAAGACCCCGCAAGCCCAAGGCTCCTAAGCTGAGGTTCCCTCTGCCCCCCAACTCAGCTGCTCACCGCATGGGTCTGGGGTCAGGGTTTCTTTAAAGTGACTGTCGACGGTGCCAAGCGTCTTTGAGCCTGTGACAGGCCCCTGCTCAGACAGGAACCTCACATTGCCCTCACATGTCTGTGTGTAGAGTAGGGGAGAAGTGTGTCCGGGCGCCTGCTGACGCGCCGTGTCTACATCCCAGCGTGAATGTGCTTGTCGGCACCACAGACGTCTGGCCCGTGCCCAGGATTCTTACAGCTGTAAAGTGTTAGAGGGACTGCTACCTACAAAAACAGTTGTCCCTGCAGAATGGTTGCAGGTGTCCATCCTGACATCTTTCAGGGGGAGGAAGAAAATATTTGAACACTTCAAGTTAAAGCTGCTGTCAACCAGAGGCCGATGGGTGAGGAGCTCTGGTCAATGGGAAGAAGCACCGTCAGACTGAAAGGAGGCAAGCCTTGGCGTCTGGGGCCTCAAGCCCAAGCAGACCTGCAGGAGCTAGGAGGCTGGACGGCAGGGGGGCAGCCCCTCTGGACGCGTCTTTCTCATCGTGCTTCGCACAGGTCCACCGTGGAGTCCGTGAAGCCCGCCGCACCCCTTGCTGAGCGCTCTGAGGGACCAGCAGAAGCCTTTCCCCAGGTTTCCTCTCGGGGCCACCCAGCGACAGTCTCTGTTGTTTCAGCGCTCCAGGAATCTGAGAGGGACTGTTTCTTAAGGTTTCTGGGAAAGTATTTTCCCCAAGCCCTTCGTGAACCAAGTTGGTGTTTTTTTTTCTTGAAAGCCGGCTCCCTCGGGGAGAGCCCGGCTGACCATTCCAGAGAGAGGCCTGGCCATTGGCTGGGGGGGTCACGTGAGCAGTGCCCCACGCTGTCTAGCTGCCCAGGGCTGCCACGCGGGCAACGCCGGCCAGGCAGGGCCCAGCCTGCTCTGGAGTGACTTCGTTTATGCACAGTTCTAACTGATCTCAGGGGAGTCCGTGAGGCTTAGAGGAGGAAGAGACAGACGCTGAGGGGAAGGGCTGAGAAGTCACCCACACCCTCCAGGATGGCCTTAGAGCCAGGCCTTAGGGACCATGCCTGCCACTTGTGGGTGCCCTTTGTTGCCGTGTGTGTCTTTGAATAAAGTCTGAAATGCTGTGACCCTTTTCCCCCCTCTTGTCAATAAACACATGAAACAGACTTCTGAATCTTTAAACTGTTGGTGTGTATTTCCCAATACTCACAGCTCCTGGAGTCCTCCTGTCTGTCAACATTGATGATTCTCACACTGTCCTCACGAGATGAATGTCACCGCACCCTTTTCTAGCAGAGCTTCTTACAGAGTCCCTGTTTGTCCTGCTGCTAAGACTGCCTGGGGGGCTGGGGAGGAGGGAAGAGGCTGGACCTTCCCTCCTGGTTTTCATTCCACCGCGTCTGAAAGGATCAGAGAGTGCCAGGGGACAGAAGGTTGGACAGATGGGCTTCCCGCAGGAGAGCAGGAAGGAGACGGGGAGGAGTAGGAGATGGTCTTTAAGGGAAAAAAGTCTTCCTGGAAGAGGACAGGTGAGGGGGTGCCCACTTTCTCTGCCAGGAGGATGAGGAAGAATGTGAGGTGAGAATCCAGTCACCCAAGTTTTAAGTGTTGATCCTTAAGTCATCAAGCAGGGTGTGGGATTTGAAAGAGTTCGTCCCTCCTACAAGGTGCTAACAGCTGGGGCGGAGTTACATACACAGAAAAGTACTGACAAGGGATGTGGCTGAAACAGCTCCAGCAAGAGGCCACAGCAGTTGTAAATAGGAGGGAAAGGAAAGGGCCTGGGGGACTCGGCTGTCACAGCCGTAGGGGTCGCAGGACAGAGTTACTGCTCCCAAGTGTGTGTGCGTGTTCAGTCGTGGCCGACTCTTTGTGACCCCATGGACTGTAGCCCACCAGGCTCCTCTGTCCATGAGGTTTCCCAGGCAAGAACAACTAGAGTGGGTTGCCAATTGCTCTTCCAGGGGATCTTCCCGACCCAGGGATCAAACCCAGGTCTCCTGCATCTCCTGCATTGGCAGGTGGATTCTTTACCACTGAGCTACCTGGGAAGCCCATTTGTTCCCAATTCTGGGGAACAAAGAAAAGAGGTTGACATTGTTAAAAGGTCAAGATGCAGGGCTTCCATGATGGCTCATTAGTGAAGAATCCACCTGCCAAGGCAGGAGACAAAGGTTCGATCCCTGATCCAGGACGATTTCCACATGCGGAGCAGCAATTAAGCCGACACGTCACAACTATTGAGCCTGTGCCCCACGATAGCAGAGGCCACTGCCATGAGAAGCTCACACACAACGAGAGGGTAGCCCCCATTCACCACCAACTAGAGAAAGCCTGCACAGCAGTGAAGAACCAGCACAGCCAAAAATAAATAAAATTTTTTAAAAAGAATGAAAAATAAAAGGTTGAGATGGGACTTCCCTGGTCGTCCTGTTCTTAAGACTCTGCACTTCCACTGCAGTGGGCTCAGGTTCAATCCCTGGTTGGGGAATGGCAAAGAAAGACATACAATGCATACACGGTCGAGGCTTTGAGGAGGGGCCCTGCGAGGGATGCTGCTGTCTGGGGGCTCACCGCGCTGCTGGGACCAGCTATTGCTGCCAGAGTGAAGCTGCGTTGCTGTGGTTTCTCTGATAACAGGAAGGGGCTCATCTCCTTTCTCCCCCCAGCTCCCTCATACGTCCCTTACAGCAGCTCTCAGCCCCAGCAGCACCCGGCAGTCTGGGTGGGTTGGGACTGAGGAGCCACAGCCAGGGCTGCTCAGTATCCATAAACTCACTTCTGTGCATATTTGAACTTCATACAAAATGGTAAGAATACCTTTATGCCTCCATGTGACAAGATGCAACTACTCTACACAGATAATCTTACCCTCTCTCCTAACATGAAAGTGAAGTCGCTCAGACTCTTTGAGACCCCACGGACTGCAGCCCACCTGGCTCCTCTGTCCATGGGATTCTCCAGGCAAGAACACTGGAGTGGGTTGCCATTTCCTTCTCCAGGGGATCTTCCCGACCCAGGGATTGAACCCAGGTCTCCCACATTGCAGGCAGACGAATTTACCCTCTGAGCCACCAGGGAAGCCACAACTCTCCTTCTGAGGGCTTCCCAGGTGGATCAGTGGTAAAGAATCCGCCTGTAATGTGGAAGACCCAGATTCCATCCCTGGGTCGGGAAGACCCTCTGGAGAAGGGCACGGCAACCCACTCCAGTGTTCTTGCCTGGAGAATTCCATGGACCAAGAAGCCCTAACATAAGACACTGCAAAAGGTCATTGTTCCCAGGTCTGAGAGACAGTCATATCTATTTCTGGGCTATGTTAATTACCCCTCAAATTGGCTTTGTAGGTTTTGATGGGCAACTCAGACCATATGGTCTCTTGATTCCCATGATGAGGGATCAGGCACAGTTTCTCAAAAGGAGAAGAAAGAAAGAAAAAAAAAGAATTAGTCACTCCGTCGTGTCTGACTCTCTCTACCGCCAGGCTCCTTGGTCCATGGAATTCTCCAGGCAAGAATACTGGGTGCGTTGCCGTGCCCTTCTCCAGAGGGTCTTCCCGACCCAGGGATGGAATCCAGGTCTCCCACATTGCAGGCGGATTCTTGACCACTGGTCCCCCTGGGAAGCCCTCAGAAGGAG